GTCTTGCCGATGCCAACCTCATCACCGTGCACCACCCCGAGCTTCTCGAGGGCACGTTGGTGAGCAACATGTCGGACGCATCTAAGCGCTCGAAGCCCGATAGCGAGGCGGTTGATTTGGATCCCTTCGAGCTCTTGGAGATCTTCGGACACACCGGCGCGCACTCCACTGACTTCACAGTAATTTCCGAGGCAGTCCCTGGGAACAGTAAGCAGGTTACGAAGGTCCCTCCTGGACCTGTGAAGCTCCCAGATGGCATCCGCAGCCTTCGCGACTGGGGTCGGGCTCTCTGCACGCTGCCCAAGATCAAGAACGACAACCTGTGCCACCAAGAGATTCTTGAGAGTGATGCTGAGCATGTAAAGTCTTACCGTGTATGGGTGCATGACAACGCTGGTACAAATCGCAGTTCGAAGGTAGATGACTTGGCTAATTTCCTCAAAGCCTCTGGCTGGATTCCAGGTGCCAATGGTACCGCTTATCCGGGCTCTAAAGAGGTTCGTCAGTTCAAGCAGTGAGTGGTTGCCCATGAGGAGCGATCCTGAGCCGAGATGCTGAAGATTCGGCTCAGTGGTTCCCATAGTGGATGCTTTAGCGCTGCTCTCGACATGGACCGCTTCACATGAACTCACTGAGCATGAAGACAACATCGCACCACGACGACATCGCTTTCCAGCACTGCCTACCCTGCTGCCATCTTCTGCAACGACGGAACTAGTCTGAGAGGTCGTTTCTTTTGTGTACGGGGAGGAGACCGCCGGGTCCTTGTCGAAAGCGGTGTCAGACAAACCATACTCCTGCTTGACGGCATCTGGCACCGGAAAGTGACCCCCAGTCCACTGAACTAGGGGTATGGTACGATGTCCAGAGGTCTGAACGCCCATGCGAAGCTGTACTCCAATCTTCTCAAAGCGTACGTGATTCGACACTAGATTGAGCGATGCGCCCAAGTGCTCTAAGAGTCCTACGCTCAGTAGAGGAGGTACATTGCTCTGGATGACCAGGAAGTTGATGACCCCCGGAACACCGCCAGGAGTCGGCACGAGTACTGAGCGAACGACCATGGCCTGTCCTCCTATGCCAGTCGGCGCGCTCGCCACAGAGGGGACTTCGACTGACCGAAGCCCGACTGAGCTCAAGGTGCGGTCCAAAGCCTCCATGGCCGGCAACCCAATAATATCTTGCGTTGCTCCAATATCGAGTATTGCGTCACCCGACCGAAAAGTCAAGAAGTTCCAAGCCTCCGCCTTGAGCTGATCGGCCATCGAAAGACAGCCAGCCATGAAAACCCATCCTGAAGGGGCTTCGGAGGAACTTGAGGGACCTAGATAGCAACATCCGGTCGGCTTCTGAGTGGTCACCGTCTGCGAGGATGATGGCCGGGACAAGTGGCAGTCCTCCGCCCAGTGACCTTTCCGATCGCAAAGTCCGCATCGAGAAATCTTCTTCATCTGGGCTTGCCGTGCTTCTGGAACTTGGGCTTGTGGTCGCGAGCACCTGGAAGTCCACCAGTCGCTCCTCTGGGATGATCTCCGGAGACGCCCTTCATCAAACTACCACGGTCCTTCTTCATCTCTGCCTTGTAGTTCTTATTCTCCTTCCAGGTTCTGCGACGACGATCCCCTCGGCCATCGAGGATCGCGAAGACGTAGCAGGCCTGGTCCTCGGAGAAATTCAAGTCCTCCAAGGCCTGCACGTCCGGCTCGTCGAGCTCGTCCTGGGACCCGTCTTCGGAGTCGTCGTTGTCAGGGCCTTGCTCGCACAGGTAGACTTCTCCAGTTCCCTCGAGCTGGTCCTGAGCCACAAAGCCAGAAACGCGCTCCACACGGGCGTCCATCCGAGCCAAGAGGAGGGCCAGGCAGTCCACGTCAAGCTCACGACCACGCAAAAGCGTGGTGAGGTTCTGCTGGTTCTGCTCGGACAGACCTGCTCCTTCACGAAGAAGAGACATGCGAAGTTCTGCTGGGAGTTCCAGACCGAAACACGAGTGAAGTCGCGCTGCCCCCCATCGCATACTGGGCCAACGTCTCATCTCTTTGAGAGAACCGCCCGGTAAGCTGCTCTCTTCTCCGCATCCTCTTGCACTCCAGCCTTCATCTCTATGACCTGCAAGATCAGATCCAAGTAGTCACTGGAGCTAAGCTGGGCTTCCGTGAGATGCTCGAAGTCTGCTTGTAGCTCCCAGCCCAAAGTGCGGAGAACCTTCTCGGACCTCCGAAAGACCGGGATGTCGGTGAGCTTGTTCCATCTCTTAATCGCCTGCGTCCATTGCCGACGATAGCTCCACCAGGCCACGCCGGCGGGTCGCTGAACTCGCCCTTGTAGCCATAGTTGCTGAAGCCACCATTGTCAGAGCTGTGGCTCCTTGGAGTCCGGCCAAGGAGCCCACATTGTCGCCAGATCGGGTTTTCCCGCGCCGTTCCGATAAGATCTCTGGCTGCCTCAGTCCACGGATCCACCGAAGTCGCCGTAGAGGTGGAGGAACTTGCCGCTGCGGCTGCTGCACCCTCAGTCCTAGCATCCGAGCCAGGCTGCTGGTGTTGATGCCGAGCCCCTGCTGCATCCCCGGCAACAGGGTTCGGCTGTTCCCCTGACTGGCCTCCCCAGGCCCCAACTGTAGCGTAGGAGTATCGCTCATAGGGCTGCCAATCTTGGTCGCCCCAACGACTTCCCCACCACGAGGACCATCGCCAGTTGTTTCGCCACCATTCAGCTGCTTCGTTCGTAGCTGCAGCCGGAGGTTGTGGCGCTTGCTGAGCACTGTCATTTTCTGCATCTGCCGGTTGCGGAGTGGGCTCATCTAGCGCGGCCATCACGTCACAGGCTCACGCTACCAACTGTGGGCAGCAATGCAAAAGCGACTAGAACTCAGGAGCGAGCATGCTTTCTCTCGGCTCACTGCGTCCGTCAGCAGCTGTTCGTGGCTTGAGCGACAGACGTCAGAGCGTAGCAGCTTGACACGTGTGGGCAATCAGGTCAACACAGTCAACAGGCTTATCGTTACAATGCGCGCGCTTGCGGGCCTCGTAGTCTCGAGCTGGCTGACCTGCATCCGTGATGACGGCAGCCAGGGAGCCCGACTTCATCCCAGAAGTCACAGCCAGGTCAAAGGCGGCCGGCCCATGGATGCCCCAACTGCCAACCCAGACGTCAGCGGGTCTGCGGCCACCACCCCGCCGCACCCCGTCCTCAGGGCCTCCATGAGCATCCAGGCGTGGCGGAGGCCAGGCTTTTCCACTTCGGGGTTCAAGCCGGCGGCCTTAGCGCGACTGGCCAGCAGAGAACGAAGGCGATTGTGGCGCTTCACCCGATCGCCTCCGCAGGGACACACCAACGCATGGTCGCCGAACCGGTCCATGACCCCATCGCAGAGCGGGCATGGGAGGTCCTCATCCGCGACGGGGAGGCGCAGGCGCCGACGGATCATGATCCGGAAGAGCGGTGCCTCGACATGCAGACCAAGAGCCTCGCAAGGCGGCGCCAGGACCGTGAAGAATATTTGAGTATCTTACGAATTTAGGATCATCTGCCATATCGTCTACCACAATTAATATGTTGAATAAGTCTATTTGTTTATTCTTCTCTTGGAAATCAATGACTTTGTGCTGTGTCCCTATTAACTTCTTCAATGCTAAAGGGTCATATTCTTCATAATGAAATTTCTCTTTTTCTGTGTCAACCTTCATCACATCGGTTATATATTTCTTGACTGGTGTCCGTGTGTCATCAACATGAACAGTTGGAGAAAAAAATATATTCTTTCAAAGGAACCACGGTATATTTTCAATATTAGATTTTTGAATGAGAACAGTCTTACCACCTGTTGAAGAGGCAACACATAACATCCTAGCAGGTAATTTGGGCATCATATCATATTTACTACTCTTATACTTATATTCTGGTATGTCTATCGGTTCTACTTTAGGTATTCCATCGCTCATTATTTAATATGAGAAACATATTGTTAATATCTAGTTTATTTTGACAGGCCATCTTGGCAAAAAATCCCCAAACAAAATAGAAGACGGAATTGAACCCCATTGTCCCCGTGTGCCTAGCAGGTTCTACAGGTTCATAGGCAAACCATAAGAGTTTGGCAATGACATTAATTAAGAATTAGTTTCGTTAAATCTTAAGGAACCAGGTGTGTATAGTGCATAGTTTCATAATAACTCATTATGAAAAAAAATTAATAAATAATAATGCCAGTAATAGTAGATAAAATATCAGTTGATTTTCATCCTTATACTGAAATTATGGGAACAGGCAATTATTTTGATAGGAAGTGCTATCGTTGTAAGCAAGTTAAACACATTGATTGTTCTAAGCGTCGCTATTACTCCGCTAGACTTTCTTATTATTATGTTAAATACACTGCGACTTGTTGTGAATGCTTAGATTAAAAATATTTAAAGGGATAGTGTTATTAACATTCGGAAGATGGAGACCATCAAATGCACAAGATGCCACAGCAAAAAGCCGGCAGAACAATTCGTGTTCAATAGATCGGGGCAACCTTGGCGCAATTGCATTAAATGCAGAGAGAAGAGAAAGGAATACAAGAAAACTAAGATCGTGGATCAGAAATCTGAAATACAAGAAGTGTATGATCACGTTATACAGTTGTTGATCTGTTGCTGGAGAACTACTTTATGATATTTGGAAAGCACAAGGATAGAGCAATTATTGAGATACGTGTTGATGACAAACCAGAACAAACAAGCTAATTCTTCTTATGCAATGATACTATACTGTAATTATACTACACAAGCAGTTTTGTGTTAGAATTACATTAGAGTTATAACATGATCGGAGAGTCCGAGAAGATTAAGCTTTGACACAACCCTGAACCCTAAACCCTGAACCAAAGTCTATGAGGAACCCCTTGCCCAGTTTGAGCTGATACGAGTAATATTCCTACGATTGTAATTCTAAATATCGGGGCGGGTGGTGCCATATAACCAAACTGGGCAAGGGTGGTTCTAACTTCTTCCCCGGGCCTCTTCCAAAGGAGCCTCTAGCTCCACGAGGAGGAAGTTCTCCAGCTGGATGTCCTCTGTACAGAGGAGGCACAGCATGGCAAAGATGGCGCGGAGCAGGGCTCAATGGTGAACACATCTCAGCTCCCGGTGGCTGATCTTGTGCGCGTGGAGGCAAGCCACCTCGATTGAACGGCGCCAAGCAGGAACTGTAGGAGCCCGAAGCCATCGTGGGCGAAAGGGCCCCCGGCAGCGTCAGCCAGCTGCTTCAGCACCCGCTTGGCCCTCGCAGAGCGCTGCGTCTCTGCGACTCTGACTCTGCGAGTTGTTTTGGGTACCGGGCCGGCAGGTCTGTCCGCCATCCTCGGCGGCGAAAGCAGGCGCGAAGGCGGAGGGAGGCGCTCTGCCGAGGCCACGACGAGGGCGAGCACATCGTAGAGCCGCCCCCCTAGCTGCCGGAGTCACGCTCTCCACTCCTCTCCGCTCTCAGAGCTCTGTCAGGGGTGCTGGCCAAGGCAGAGGTCCAGGACCATGAAGACCTCTCTGAGTCTCTTCACTTCACACTCTCTCAGATTTCCGCTCTTACCCTCTTCAGGCGACCTACGGACGAATTGCCGCAACTGCACGGTTATCAAATGTTGAGTCACATTCATGTCAGCGGCGCAGCACCTCTTGTTTCAAATGTCCGAAAGCGACGGAACTCCGGTGCTTGCAGTTTGCAGGCTGAGGGCTCGACAACCTTCTAGCTTCGATGGCTTGCGCCGGCTTGCGCTGGGGGAAGCTGTTGCAACTGACACTTTCGTGATCGGCCTCTATACGCCATAGGGCCATAGGAACATTCAATGAACGGTCACGGATAGCCCGGTGAGATAGCCCTGTGTGAACCTGACCGTTTTCGCATCTGGCCCTAATGTCTGAGAGGAGCCTTTGCCTCTTGTCAGGTCAAGGTGGCCACTCGGTTTATGCTATTGCCCTGCTGCAACTGAAACCGTGACTGAGTCTTCTTTCTTCGTCTCCAACTTTGCAGCAAGGCCCCGTCTGCTGCCCCATCTTGCGTGATCGGCCCCCGAGCGGCAGCGGAAGCACCGACAAAACAGAAGAGAGGTTTCCGTGGTCCGCAGAGCGCCGCTTCGCTGCGAGCGCCGACCGCCGCCGCCGCGGTGCCGGGCCGCTGCCGGGATTCTCTCTGGAAGCGACGGCTAAGCTGATGTGAGTTCTTGTAACTCCGTTCCGAGACCCTGGCATGCAAACGCCACGTCACCGAGCATTAAAAAAGCGGACACCGTGTCAGTCTCGTGTCTTCAGCGGCCTGACTTTCGCTCTCGAAAGTCTCGAAGAGCCGGCAGACGTTTGGATGCCTAGGGCGGAAAAGTCACTGATGTGCATCGCCAGTGAACGGCCTACAGATGCCTGAGCTTCCGCATGATCTCGATCTCCTCCCACATCCCGCCCTGCAGTCGCGCAGTGCACGTGCATTCGCGCAGTGGGGTAAGTTTCTGCTCCGAACTCTCCGCCCCCAGACCGGGGGGGAAAGCGCTGGCGCCGCAGTCGCCTCGTCGGACTTGGCCTCGATCTTGATCGCCACGGAGACGCTGGACCTCGCAGCGTCCGCAGCGCCGCGGGGTCCGCGGCGGCCGCGGCTCTCTTCGCTCTGAGGCGGAGGCTCCAGGTGCCAGCCTCCCCAAACGGTACTGGTGTCCTGCGTCGCAGTCGCCGTCGCCGCAGTCGCGCCGCGACAAGCCCGCTCTTGCTCTCTCGCTCTCGCTCTGAGCTGACCCCATCACCGAGGTGCTCGAGGATCTCGTAAACCTCAAAGCATCCAGCGAAAGCAGCGAGCGAGTTCTGTGGTGCGAGGCCTGCTGCCTGTGCCGCACTGCGAGTGAGTTGGGGCCCCGGCTCCGATGGGGTGGCCCTGGGTGTGCCTCCGATCAGAACAGAGAGCGAGCGAGCGAGAGCGAGAGAAAGAGAGCGCAAGGCTGGCCTGCAGAGCTCTCCCGGCTGCCAAGTGCTGCTGATGGCGCCTGCTCCGACTGCTCTCCTCTTCTCTCTTCTGCTCTGCTAGACTCTAGGGCCCTAGTACTAGGGCTCAGTAGGGCTCTGGCGGAAGGCCGAGCGGCTCTGGCTCGGAGAGGACAGCTCCTCTCACTCCCAGCCGGGGCACCCCAGGCCCAGCTGCTGCTGCTGCCCAGCACTGCACAGCACTGACACACCTCCTCTTCAACTCGCGCTGCGAGGTCGTCCACCGGAGCCTCGAGCTGCGAGCAGCTGTCGCGCCCCCCCCCCCCGAGCATCTCTGAGGCGCCGTCCTCCTGGGCGACGGCTGCCGCGGCTGCCTGGAGGAGCTCCTCCCAAGGACACACGAAGCGACGAGCGACCAAGGCAGGGCTCAGGCGGTTCGGCTCGCGAGCTCTGGAGCTCTCCTCGACCTTCTCCAAGCGCTCGGCGAGCATGGTGCCTAGCGCTCAGAGAGAGAGAGAGAGGCTGAGGTCTCTTTAGAGTGCTTTTTTGGTCGAACTCCGCTGAAAAGCTGAGCGCTTGGCCAACAAAGCGGCCCTTGCGGTTGGTGACGGAGTGCAGGAGCGAGGTTCCGGGCTTGATCCAGCCCTTGAAATTGCTTTCCCCCTCGTAGGGCGCTGCTGCGTCGGCCTTGAACTCCAAGAGCAGTCCTGCGCGCACAAAGAGCGGTGAACAGACGAGCGCCTCAGAGCTCCTGAAACCTGCCCTCGCCCTCGCCTACGAGCTCTGGGCTGTTGTCGGCGACTGCGACCACCAAGGCCCTGGGCAAGGGCGTCTTGCCTGCCAGAGGCGCGGTGGGAGCACTGTGATGCGCGCGCAGGCACATGACAGCCCCCCCGTGCGCGCACCCTCAGGCTCCAAGGGCTCCTCGAAGCTAGACTCAGCACTTTTCTCTCTGCACTTTCATTTGCGGCTCTGGATCTCCTCCAGCCGGAGATTGCCTTGCACTCGGGTCCTTAGACAGTAAAGCGGCTACTAGCGAGTTGGTTTTTGCGGAGGGACGCCGAGGGATCCGGGCAGCACATCGCGAACTTCTTGGACCTTCACCTGACAGCCGCTGGAGCATTGCAGCTGCGCTTGGCGCTGGGTGCGGTCCGGGCCTTGCGCCGGGTGAAGGCCTCGAGGAGAGGGTGCGGGCCCAGCGAAGCCGCCGGGCCCAGGGCCTGGGCCTCCGGGCACGCCGCCGCCGACGCCGCCTCGCCCGACGAAGCTTCCACAAAGAGCTTTCAATTTCACTCTTCGCTGCATCGGGTCTCCGCCTCCGGCACCTTCATTTCGAGCCCTGCGCCCGAAGCGACTCTGGCCCCCTCCCCACTCGTGGTATACAGGAGCCCCCCCCACCTTCGACTGCCCGAGAGTCCTGCAGAAAGTTCTTTTCACTGTTGCCTTCTCTGTCCAGCGTCTGTGAAAGGCCATCTTCTGGTCCTCATCTGTCTCGTCGAAGGGTTCCTCCTGGCACGGAAGAACATGGAGCAAGCAACTCCGGTCTCACTTCTCTCCTGGGGCATCTGAATGACAAACGCACTTTGACGTCGGACTCGTGCATCCGTGTTGGAGAACCTGAATCGCAGGCCGCAGGCGGATAAGAGAAGGCTGAAGCAAACGGGGAGGGGAGGTTTCGCAGTGCAGTACACGCAGCACCTTCGGAGCTGTGCCGAGCTGGTGATCTGGTCCGGGCTGAAGTCCTCGTCCAGCTCGCTGCGATCCAGATCCTCTGGCAGACATGCGGGGCTCCCTTCACCCCTTCACATCCCGACGAACATCCCAACAGGAACCTCCTCCCTGCGCCTCGTCGTTCTCGAAGCAGCTGGTGCGGAGGCTCTTCATCCTCGGCGCAGCGGAAGCGCAGCGGAAGGCAGAAGGCAGGCAGAAGGCAGAAGAGGAGAGCGCGAGCAGGGCGCGTCATGCGGAGTCCGAGTCCGTCATGGGCTCCGTGCTGAGAGAAGGAGGCCCTGGAGCAGAGCTCGATCACCGGCTTCCGCTCCTCGCCTGCCGCCTCGCGTCAAGAGCGAAGCCTCTCTCTCTCTCTCTCTGCCTCTCTCTCTCTCTCTCCGTCTCTCCGTTCAACCGCCTTGGAGATCTTGGCATCGAGCTTCTCCCAGAGGAGCAGCTGCTCGGCCTGGCCACGGGGGGGGCCCCAAACCGCCGCTTTTTGTTTAAGTCTTCTCAGAGGTGCTCACCTTCCGGTAGAGGAAGGTCAGGTAATCTCGAAGATGATCGGCCTCACACGTGACAAGGACGGGACGACGGAGGCGGCGACGGGACGACGGACCGGACGCGCCTCAATATCTGCCAAAGCCTTGCGAGTGGAGAGCCTCAGAACGCAGCCACCGCGCCCTTCTCGGCCCTCGGCCCTTTCTTCTGCGAACCACCGAACCACCGAACCAGCTCCCCCCGTGCCTCTGAATGGAGATCATCCTCCCAGAACGCTCCGATTTCAGAAGACAAAAACGAAAGGAAGGGGAAGGGGAAGGGCGCCTGGAGATGGTCTTCCGCAGGTCCTTGCTCCTCCGCTCAAGACAAGAGGGCTCGCAGCGCTCGCACTCTCCCGTTTTGCGCCGGCCGGCTCTCCTCTGCCCATTGGCCTGCAGAGTGAGCAGAATATGCCGTTCCATGCCGTTTGGCCCCGGTCCCAGCGGTCCCAGCGCCTCTGCCAGGCTCTTCTTTGAGCTCGGCCTCCGCTACGGAGCTGCGAGAGCTGCGATGCAACCGCCCCTTGGACTCGCCTGCCGCCTGCACCCGTCCCGCTCCCTGGCCGCGACCTCTGTCGCAGAATCTGCAGAATGCAGAAGCAGATGAACAGAGCTGAGAGCCGGTCTCTGCAGGGGGCTGCGGCCTGCAAACGAGCAGATCAACCGCATCACCTCAGCTTTACCCGAGCCTTTGGATCTCCATCGGGAGGAATTCCTAGCCGAAGTCGCGCGACTTTCAGCCGGTGACGAGTCGCAATGCACGATCGATGCTTCTCTTTTCGACAAGTCCACGAGCTCCAAATGCCTATCGTTTTGTACCGGACATCCAGGACGTAGAGCAATGGCAAAACTCTTGTGGTTTAAAAGATAAGGAAACTGCGGGGCCTGCGTTTTTGCAACCTATCTATTTTCAGTGGCTTTGCATGTTTCGAGTGGTTGTGTGTGGGTTTCAGTCTCAGTTGGTCGTTCGTTTGGTGCGCGTGCATGCGTGATTTTGCTTCCAACTACAACATCAACTCTGACTTGTTACAAACCACGAGGCCTGTTTATAAACACAGGGTTTGTTTATAACCATTGCTACACTGCGTTTCGATACCATGTTTTCAGCGTTGTAATTTGTTGGATTTGTTCATGGTCATGTGCTTCGTTGTATATGCTTACTATATGATGCTAAACGTTTAACTCTTGTCTGGTACATGCTGGTTGTTATTGTTAGTTTGTTTGTATTTGTTACGTGATGAGGGGGGCGGGAGGGGGGGCAGGAGTCTTGGGTTGATGTTTCGAGACCCCCCCCCCCCCCCCCCCCNNCCCCCCCCCCCCCACCAGCACCAGCACCGCATGTGCCACTGACTCCCAGCAAAAAGTTCACAAACCTCACCTTACTGCAAATTTTGCCACGGATACGTAGGACTTTCTCCATATGTCAGCCTGTGTGGATTGGACCAAGAATCTGTTTGGCTGAGAATGCGATGGAAATAATGGCATTTGCGGTGCTTCTGCTTATGGGAAAATCATGTTCTGTGGTCCATCGTCTATAAACACCTGGCCTTGTTTATTAACAAATGAGTTGTCCATAGGCACACGGGGTAATATTGTGGAATCAATATGGTGCATATGCGCGTATGCCTGTCTTCCCGTGTAAACACGACTGCTGTTGCTACATAGCTCATAGGTCCAGTCTTCGTCACAATTATAACCATAGTAGAGGACGACAGGGATATGAAGCGATTGTGTATCAAACCAACAGATTTCTGATACGGATACTTGAGGAGATGGAGGCCATGCAAGATCATCCAAGGGTGGAGCTTCACCATTCGCCGATCGAGGCTTCAGAGGCAGCGGACCCATAAACCCAGATGTCCGGAGTCACACTGACCCAGATACTTGGTATATTGGATTGTAGACTTCAGCCTTTGGGGTTCCGGGTTTCGGGATTGGGGTCTAGGGGGCAGGCTCTAAGCTACCTACTACGGCAGAATGTTATGTGAGGTTGGATTGTAGACTGTGGGCAATAGCCCTTGATTCCTTGACAATCACACATGTTGATCCATATACTGAACTCACACATATTTGTTGACATGCAATAACAAAGCACTGATCTAAAGACCTGCTTCGAATCCTGTGCACTTCGCCCAATAAGTACGCTAACTTCATTCGCTCATGTTCTCAAACAACCAAACATTGCATGCTTTGATAGTGCGCTGAGTTCTGGTGTTGGCCGGATTGGCTTGACAGAATGAAAAGTTTTGCAGGGATAAGATATTGTACGGCTCTGTGAGCGACCTTTCTAGTCTACGCCGCCGACCCCAAGACTTGGCTTGATAAAGTCAAGAATACACGGGCACACGGTATTTACGGTGTTTCCTGCCTGTGATAGTTGTTCTGGGGAAGAACTTTGAATACGTAGCCAATCAATGCCGTGGTGTGCTAGCCGTTGACGTCTGACTGTGCACAGGTTAAGCCCGACCTTTAATACAGTACTCAGGAAAAGAAAGCTACTTTGTGGTGTTATGCTGCGCGTACCCACTGTAAATCTGATACAGAAAAGATGGGCCTGCAAAACCCAGGTCCCGCAGCAACCTGCTCTCCTTTCTTGGGCATGTTGGGTCATTCTTAAGCATCACACATGAAACATTGTGGGCATATACAGTATCCAGAAGCATTGTGCACAACAAAGGCAGTGCTCACTCTTGTGTGATACTACTCAACACTGTCCTTGTTCTGCCGTTGTGTACGAGTATGCCATTTCGACTTCTGCTTGACTTGTATGCACATGTATGTGCACATAGTTGACACTCTGATATCCGAGATTGGCCGCCGCGGAACTCGAAGTGGCGTGGGCCCTTCAACAGCATTCTCGGTACAGCCGTTGCACGATTGACATTCCAAGTTTAAGAACAGGAAGCGTGAGAGGATCGCGACAAAGAGCCGTGTATAGCGACAATCAAAATTGGCGAGGGCACAAGCTGCAATAGCCATTGCCCAGGTACTCCAGTGGCAGTGGCCTGTCCAATGACATGGAGGTTCGTTGGCACGAGCCATGTCAAAATATCTCTGTTGCAGGAAAAGCTCCTTGACAACACGATTTGAACTAAGCCCTTAGCCTTTCGAACCGGGTACCACACACACATGCAGGAATATGCTGCTATATGTGTGGGTGCACAAGTGTGCTTGATGGTGCAAATATTTACCTGACCCTTCTAGTACTGGTGTATACATCTAACTGCTATATGTGAATGTGTGTGAGAGCTTGTACCGTGCATGCATGCATGTCTGCTTGTTTAAACGTCTCGGGTCGAACCTCAAAGCTATAATTTTCTGCAGTCTCGATCAGAGCGCCCCAAGGTGCGCTAGGTGTTGCATCGTATCAGAGGCCAAGGGCTCTGCAGCGAGACCAAAGAAGTATGAGCTTCTCACGGTGCTTACCTATGACATTCGCAGCGTCCGTACATCGGCTTCTGATTCAGTGACTGAAAGTCTCAGGGGTCTGAACGCACAGGAGGAGACCATCCAGAGAAAGACCCAGCAGAAGACCACGAAATTATGTGCTCATCCCAGTCTTGCCGGACTTGCCGAAGCACACTCTTCTGCTTCTCGTGGGGGGCTTTCGTCAGTTGCCTGGGGGCCCAAATGACGGATGCAGACTGGATGCAGCAGCTGCGCATGATGCGTTTGTTACTGCAAAGGCGGAGCTGTGGGCCCCTGCTCCGCGAGCTTCTGAACCCACAAGCTTGGTAAGGTGAACAAGGACGCCACCGAACTAACGACCCGTGTCCTCCAAAATCATCTTCAACCTATGGTCCGGGCTCCGCACATCAAAAAGCGCAGTTGCTGCAGTTTTCTTTCGAGTAGCGCTGCTCAGACTGGATTTGTCAAGTCGCAAGCGTTTGATCTTTTGCCTAACGTGTGCTTGAAACAGCACTTGTCCATCCTGGTGCAAATCATGCATGGAGCAGCGTGTGTTCTCCTCTCGAGCATCAGTCCAAATTCACGACCTTGTTTGGTTGATCGACAGCAAAGAGGACTGTGAGTTTCCGTTGAAGTGCTTTAGAACGGTCTTTGTGAAGGGCTCGCGTGCTTTCCGCGAATCCCGACTCCCGATATTCGTAGCAGCTCGCGGAGTGCAGGGCTCCATTTGTGCAGGCTTGACATCTCCTTCGTGTCGGGCCACGGCACCTCCCAAGTTGGGGCGGCCAGACCCATAAGTTCTCCTATAAAGTCCTAGAAAGTCCCCACTGTCAGTCGTCGCTGAAGGAGACCCTCCTCCTCTGCAACCAGTGGAGCCGGAAGAGGAGCCGCCGCCCCGCGGCGGAAGAGGAGCCGAGGCAGGCGCGCTTTGAGGCGACGCACTCCGCACACCGCGAAACACGGAGGGACGGAGACCGGGGGATCTGCTCCCAACGGCAGTGAAAGTGGCGCAGCGGAGAGCTTCCTGTTTCTTCCATTTCAAAAAGGAGAAGTGTAACCCGCCAAAAAAGAGCGAACATCACCATGTCCGTGTCACCTTGCCAGATGCTGTGCTCCTCGACATACAGTTGCAACACGCACAGATTCGCCTGGAGCCATGACCAAGTCGCAGAGAATCGTTATGCAAGAAGCCTCCCGCCCTCACAAGGCCCAATCTGCAGAACCCGAGCCCAGGGCACGTACATCGCCTTTTGGAACCGGTGGGCTTTCCAGCGTGCAAGCTCTTTCACATGTGCGATGACGACCAACCGACAAATGCCGCAGCGACCTAGCGCGGGATCGCGCGAGACACGGCGCTGTCGCGAGAGGTGGCATGCCAGGCAGAAGTTGCACGGTGGAGTTGGCAAGCTTGCCGTTCGACGTGGGGAAATATCAAGCTACTGAAGAATGGCGAGGGGATGCCACAGAAACAGAATCCGCTTGTCCAAACAAGCGCGCTGCTTCCAGAGGTGTTGGTTTCTGAGAATGAGTTCATGTGTGCGATGATGTATGTATGTATGTATGTACGCATGTCAAGCATGCACTTATGTAGACATGTGCACGGAGACAGACCAAACAGATGCATGTGTGTCGTTCTCAGAGTCCTTGGAGTTTTGCAGGGATCTGGTTCCATCACCTGCAAGAATCAGGCCGTGGGGTAGGCAATGGAGCTGTAATTCGCCGTACCTTCGCCGCCTTCCGATTCCTCAGCCTGTAACCTCGCGAAAAGACAGAAGACAGAAGCCTGAAAACACTGACACAGAAGCCTGCACCGTTGTACTGCCCATGCACCGAAGCTTCATCGCGCGAGCTTGCTCTCGTAAGGTCAGAGCGGAGGCAAATTCCTGCCCGCTCTCCACGCGGTCACGGCGGTCACTGTTTTCTGGTGTCCCTCTCTCTCGTGTCCTGGGCTTGGGCGGTGTGACCTCCTCCTCATCTTCAGCACGATAGCGCAGGACCATCACAGCAACAGCCGCAGCCTCAGAGCTGGCCAAGAAACGGCGCGCCGTGATTTCTAATTTCACCAGCTCAAAGACTCAAAGGCTCTTTTCTTGGCCCGCTGGCCGTTCTTGGCAGCCATATCACGAAGAACGCGAGCGCAGGCTCTCCGACTGCGAGAACCAAGCTGAAACCAAGCAGCTGCGGCCCGTGGTGTCTGGGTGTCGGCGATAGGTGCACACTCATGAACTGATGACAAAGTGTCTTCTTCTGAAGTGTCTGCCCACTGTCGCGCCGTTGCGACCAGCTGGAAAATCTGCTCAGTGACTCAGGCTTATAGCGGAGTGCTGCTCATGATGCGCAAGTTTTCTGCTTCAACAGAAGGAGAAGGAGAGAGAGCAAGAGAGAGTGAGAGACATGGAGACAGAGAGAGAGAGAGAGAGAATGACAGGACTTGCTGGAGCTGCGAGATTTGCAAGTTGCGCACGTGCGCTCGCAAACGCACGCCATCTTTGCATACTTGTTCACATGCACTATTGTGTGCATATCCAGGTAGGACGACGGCCACCGTCGAAAGGCGAAAGGGAATGTCCATTGCAACTGCATGTCTGCGTCGACCAGCATTAGCTACAGTCCTCGGTGCTTGGCCACATCGTCTTAAGTGCTCACGCATTGCAAGGGTCTTTCCAACGACCACTGCCGCCAGAAGCACGCTGAAACTGGCGCAAGTCCCAAGCATGTCATGAACCTTTTTCCACAGCTGCAGCAGAAATCTTAAGGTTGCATTGGCAGCTTTTGCATTCACCTTAAGTGCGTTGGCAGCGCGTGCCACTTCAAGAAGCCGCTCACTGTTGCCTTGACTAGCATGGAAAGCTGAAGAAGGCCGGAGCCGAAGGGCAACGAGGGCAACCTCGGGCCTCGGGCACGGCACGGTGAGGCTAAGCCACCTGGAGCACAAAGAGTCGGAAAGACAAAAGCAACTCTTAAGCGGCCGACTTCATCGCGCCCAGCTGCGCCTCATCGCCGCCGCGGGGCCCGGGGTCGGTGCCTAGGCCTAGGCTCCAAAGGCGCTGGAGGTCATCAGCCGGAACTCGTCGTCGTCCTCGCAGCGGGCAAGAGGCGAGGCAAGGCGCCGGCCCCCGGCCCAAAACCCCCCCGGCCGCCGGCCTCGTGGACGGCGGAAACCATTCGGAAGAAGTCCAGGAACTTCCCGAAATCGAAAGCCGAGCCTTTCAGGCCAGCTGGGGGGGGCCGGCCCCAGCGCTGTCTCCTTGTGGGGGTTGTCCTGGCCTGCTGCAAAGAAGTCCACGGCATCGAAGAACTCCTGCTCCGCTTGCCTGGGATCTTTCCTGGAGCCGACTTCTCTCGAAGCGCGCTTTGCGCGGGCACTTGACATTGACCAGGAGTGCTTCGGCAACTTCGGACGATGCGAAGCGAACGCAAGCCTTCGCAGAAGGCACTGCGGGGCGCTGGATGCGTCGAACCTGGCGACAGCCGGCCGCGAACCGGTCGCGGCATCCCCCCGGGGCCTATGGCAGGCCGCTGGAGCGGCGCGCCTGTTCTTCAGCGTCTGCGCCGTCACCTGGGAACCGCTGCCCAAGGCCTCGCCAAGGCACCCCGCAGGGTGCTCTGCATGGTGGCATGGCAGTCCTTCCCCACTGATTTTGGATTGCGCTTTGCCAATGAAACGTTCTCCCGCTTTGGGAAGTTAGGCGATTCGCAACATGCTTTAAATCACGCCCCTCTAGAAGCGTGCGAGGTGCTAACGGCGTCACGGCGTCATGCAGTGGATGCCGATTGTACTGTCACATTCTTGGCCGTGGCACGGCCGTTGGAAACGTCCACGGTGAACTGGACTTGATCGCCCACATTCACGCTGCCGGCCGCCCCGAGCTCGTTCTTGTGCAAGAAGATCTCGGACAAGAACACGCCTTTCGCCGCAGCCGAGTCGATGAAGCCCCAGCCCTGGCTGAAACGGGACGGAACCGGGAAGGGAGGAATGGGAGCGTTGGAAGCTGTGGAAGCTGTGCTCTCCTTGGCGTCGTTGAAGGCTTTCACCGTCCCGCTGTAGGAGCTCGCGGCGCTGCCTTCGTCAAAGGCCTCCCAAACAGGCACGGTCTGGGGCTGTCTGAACTCACTACCCAGTAGGCTACTTGCTGCCGCTCGTCGGGTCTAGCCTGTAGCTTCCAACGCGTGATGCTGTGAACCCCTGCAAGTTAACATTAGTGAACAAATCGAAGCTTGTCCTTTATCGTCGAGTACTTCAAACTTGTGTGGTTTAGGAACATCCTCCTTAAAGTCAAGACCGTTTATGTAGCTGTTGTACCCAACATTGTTTTATACTTTTCTGTTTAGCTAATCTTGCCGGTACTTAGCATGAGTACCAATAATTCACAAAGCACCATTACAGGCGTTGCCAACATTTCAACTACTGCCAATGCTACAGATTTCGCCTGTGTTCCTCATTCTGAAGTCGAAAGTTACCACTGTGAAAACAAGCAACGAAATTATTAGGGATGTAGCGAACAGCATCATTCGTGTCACCGTTGCTTCCCTTGTGACAACGTGAGGGTTGCCAGAGTGTTGGTTGGTACTTTAAATATCTATATATCGTCTCTTCATATACATATGGCTATTTATAGCAAAGGTATATGTCTAAGTGAAAACATAAGCAAATGATTATAAATTATAAGTAAGTATGTGCACACAATACTTGCTCTTGTATTTACACATATACGTACGAATGCCGTATATACTGATGTACTAAAAATGATTTCATACTTACACATCCAATCGTATTTATATGCACTATATGTAGTATCTATAATACATACGTGCGAATCAGAATATACTGCATACTTTGTACGACAGACTGTATACTGTGTACCATGCACCTTGTGACTAACGACTGTATGGACTATTTACTATATATACACGTCTATTTTGTATGTATGTGTATATATGTATCTGTATATAGTATACGATGCTTATATACATACAATATATCCACTACGCCTGTGCTACGAGCAGCAAGCTTGACGCCTTCCTTCCTTCCTTCCTTCCTCACCCCCGGAACCAAAAAAAAGTGGCCCAACAAAAACCAAGGCCCAAAGAATAAATAGGTTCCCTTTTCCAGAGCTTATCCACCAACTTGTTTCTGTGTTTTCCTCTCACGCTTACCCTGGGGTCCGTGTCAGACGCTGAAATGCGTTGTCTTGAAGCGTTCTGGTTTGTTAAATTTTGCGTTTTTGAACAAGAAAAGCTGGTTGAATGGTCTTGCCTAAGATCCAAAAAACTTCGTTCTGCAATCTTGGATGTTGGATCCAGGGGTGGCCGTATTTAAATGCAAGGTTTAAATGCGGCCACCCCTGGATCCAAGATCCAACATTGCAGAACAAAGTCCATCTTGGATCCGGGCGGCCCAGATTTCAACATGTATAAAAGGAAAACATCTCCAAAAACACACAAGAGTCTAGACTGTAATGAAGTGCGGACAAAGTGCTGGTGCACTTGACCTTACTATATCATGCTATTCCATACTGTACCCGCTTCCTAAAGTAATACAGTCACTTGGCCATGCAACAGTGTGTTCTCCTACACCATGTTGCGGTACTGCTAGTAGAGTATCGCATACTATGTAGCATATGCTATACGTCAGTACATTTAAGTTGAAAAACCAAAACCTCTGCTATGGTGTAATTTCTTCCACTATACCGTACTATATCATATCACAATGTACTCATATACTGGACTGCATCTTGACGCAAATCAACCACAAATGCATTGCCTGGTGCCTCTCAAATTTTTATGCAGCCCGACAGGATCCATTTTTTGCTTAAGTTTCATACCGGTACATGAGGCGCAAATGTGCAATGAATAAGGTATAACGGGAATACGTCGTAATTCACGGTGCTTCATGAGGCTTCTATAAATAGAAAAATATATGTATGTATGTATATATATATATATGTATATATATATATATACATATATGTATATACGTATATGTATATATGTATATATATATATATATGTGTGTATATATATATATACATACATATATAGATAGGTGCGTATGTATGTGTATATAGTTACGATACTATACTATACTATACTATACATACATACA